CAGGGGAGGACCCAACCAGAAATTTCTAACTTTTTGTTTTTAATTATTAATCCCCTTCTGCTGTGGTTTCTTTTGTCAGTTTTTAAATTTTTTTAAATTGTGTTTTTTTTAAACTTTTACTTTTTACCTCTTGTGTATATGTAGGGAATTTATAGGGAAATATGTACTTTATGGAATAAATTTTAAGAACTAAAATATATTTTATTTTAAATAAAGTAATGGACCTTTAATCTTACACAGCTAAATTACTGATTATATATTTGCTGAGCTGACTTAAGGGTTCAGAAAATTGTATCAAGAGTTTTATTTTTTGACTTCAAAGCCTTCTTAATAAAGTCTTTTTACTACATGTGAGCCCTTGGCGTGGTGTGGGGCGGGTGGGCATGGGAGAGGGAGGACCAGGGGAGGGGTGCTCAGAGCTAGCCCCCTCACCCCCTAATCTTCCAGATAAAGGAATTTGGACTCAGGATACCCCATGCCCAAGCCCAGGCTCTTCTAAAAGCCCGGCACTGTGCCTAGTTCCAGATGAGGCATTGGGTCTGGAGGGGAAGGTGGTGCAGCCAGACCTGCCCTTTTCTTGAGGCTCAGGTCCCCTACATTCCAGGGGCCAGACAACCATGGGGCCAGCTGTGGCCACTGTGGAGGGAGGGGTGCCAGGCTCTGTGGTGTGTTTGGGAGGGGACTCCCAGTCCCGTTGTGCAGAATGGGAAACTGAGGTCTGGAAATCCCACTCCCAGATGGGTTCTAACACCTCCCAGTCTCCGAAGGACATGTGAGTGATGACCACACATGCCCTCCCTCCCTCACCAGGTCTAGTTGGGAGCAGAGGACCATGCCCATGGGGCCACTGGACAATTCAGGGCGGGGTTGGCCCTGGAGTCAGGTCTGTGGGATTATGGGTTGAACCACCTGCAGTCAGCAGGTGCCACCAAAGTTCCCAAGGAGGGGAAGAAAGCTCTGGAGTGAGTGGAGGCATGGGACTGCTCCAGAGACAAGCTGGGGAGCCAGGGGCCCATAGGCTGCTGGCTTGAGTGGGCACTGAGGAGGGGTCTGCAGAACACAGCCTGCTAGGAAAACTAGGAAGGCATGGTGGAGCAACCGGGAGGGCCTCCAAGAGGAGGCGAGGGGGTCAGGAAGACAGGTCAGGTGGGGCAACAGGAGGGGGCAGATGGATGGGGCACCCCATGGGCCTTGTCTACAGTGAGTGGTGGCCACGTCAGCCTCTCCAGCTGAGTAGCAGCCCCTGGAGGCTGCAGGACCTGGGGTGAGTCTCAAAGAGCCACACATACCTGGGGTTCCAGCCCACTCTGGCTGGAGTTACCCCATCTGTGAAACGGGGATACTCCACACTTCCAGCTCTGGTGAAGATCATGGGTGGAGCAGTTGAATCATGGCCCCGGAACCTGTGAATGGACCTTATTCGGAAAAAGGGCCTTTGCAGATATAATTAAGGATCTTGAGGTGAGCTCCTCCTAAATGAGGGTGGGCCCTAAGTCTAATGACAAGTGTCCTTATAAAAGACCTGGAGAGGGGGATTCAAGACTCAGACACAGAGAGAAAATGGAGGCAAGCCCAGCGGCGCCTGGAGCCCCCAGAAGCTGGAAGAGGCAGGGAGGACCTTCTCCTGGAGCCTCCAGAGGAAGCCAACAGTGGGGGAACAGATGCCTGTTGTTTTAAGCCACCGGCTTTGTGGCAATTTGTTACAGCAGGCCACGGGAACCAGTGCGGGTCTGTGGGCAACATGGAACCTGGGGTCTGGCCCACAGTTCAGTGGCGGGGGGGGGGTGGACACGGCTGCCGTGGCACCTGGTGAGCTGGGGTGAAGTTAGACCATAGCCCTCACCCTGCAGGAGGTTATGGAGGCAGTGGAGGTGAGTGTGGAGACCACCCCCCTGACATTTTGGACACAAAGAGAAAGAGAAAGCAGTCCCTTGAGGGGCTGAGGGGTCGAGGGAAAGACAGGACATCAAGGGGGTTGAAAGTCCTTGGGAAGGAGGTGGCGGCTGGAGTCCAAGCAAGGGGTTTCTGTAAGATGCAATGGGGGAGGGCCTGATCTGAGGACATTCTGTCTTAGAATGGTCCAGAAATGTCTGAGGGATGTGCTCGCTCCCTACTGAGGGGTTGTGAAGCCGATCATCAGGAGGCCAGAGTTGCTGGTGCCCTTGGGGAAAGCTGAGAGATGGCCAGAGGTGGACTCTCAAGCTGGCCATTTGAGGCCCTGGATCCAGCTGTGCCTGAAGGCAGACCATCCCAACCTCTCAGCTATGAGTGCCAGTAAACTCTCCTGTTTTGCTTAAGCCAGTGTAAGCTGGAGTAACTCAAATTCATAACCACCTACAGAGACCATATTCCTTTTTTTTTTTTTTTTTTTTTATTTGAGAGAGAGAGAATGAGAGAGAGAGAGTACATGAGACGGGGGAGGGTCAGAGGGAGAAGCAGACTTCCCGCCGAGCAGGGAGCCCGATGCGGGACTCGATCCCGGGACTCCAGGATCATGACCTGAGCCGAAGGCAGTCGCCCAACCAACTGAGCCACCCAGGCGCCCCCAGAGACCATATTCCTGGCCAGAGAGCTGGGGAGCATTTCCTGGGGCGAGAGGTGCTCAGCAAAAGCAAAGCAAATACCCTGTGCATTTAGCTTCTTCACAACTAGACACACTCAGGGAAGCCAAAGTCTGAGGCAAGTTTCCATTGCCCTTATTACTCGTCTCTCTTGGTTCATGGGCTCAGCACATCGAGGTGACCCTTGTCCAGTGTCTTCTGAGAAGGCCTTTATTCTGGGTCTCATCAGATTTCAGGGAGATGATGAAGGATAAGCCCATAGTTCTCCCATCTGTGAGATTGAGCCACGCACAAAGTGGGCTCAGTGTGGGAATGCTATGTCACCTGCATGACCATGTGTATCCCTGGCAAGTCCCTGGGACAGGAATGATATGTCACCTCATGCCCACCATGTGTAGGGAAAACCAGGAGCTCTAGAGACAGACATCGAAGTCCCATCCTGGCCGACCACTTTCCTGCTTCATGCCCCTGGGCATGTTATCTCCCTGGCCTCAGTTTTCTTATCTTAATCATCTGCAGCTGAGTACAAAGCCTGGCAGATGTTAAATGCTGGTCTGTAGTAGTCCCCACCCTCCATCTCTGCCCTCAGCTGAATACACTCTGGAGGGGATCAATTCAGATATAACCCTTTGAGGCCAGGAAAATCCCAACAAACTGAACAGGAGAAGAACAAACAGTGCCTGGAAACTGGAAGATGCTCAGTATTTGTTGGGTGGATGGATGAATAGGTAGATGGTGAGTGAATGTATGAATAGATGATGGATAGTGAATAGATGATGGATAGTGAATGGATGATGGATGGATGGATGGATGGATGATAGATGGATAATGGGTGGATGATGGATGGATGGATGGGTAATGGATGGATGGATGATGGATGGACAGATGGATGGATGGATGATGGATAATGGGTGGTGATGGATGGATGGATGATGGAGGATGGATGGATGGATGATGGATAGATGGGTAATGGATGGATGGATGATGGATGGATGATGGATGGATGGATGATGAATAGATGGGTAATGGATGGATGGATGATGGATGGATGGATGGACGATGGACGGACAGATGGTTGGATGGATGGATGATGGCTAATGGGTGGATGATGGATGGATGGATGGATGGGTGGATGATGGATGGATGGATGATGGATAGATGGGTAATGGGTGGATGGATGATGAATGGATGGATGGACGGACAGATGATGGATAGATGGTTAATGGATGGATGGATGATGAATGGATGGATGCACGGACAGATGGTTGGACGGATGGTTGATGGGTAATGGGTGGATGATGGATGGATGGATGGATGGATGATGGATAGATGGGTAATGGATGGATGGATGATGGATGGATGGATGATGGATGGATGGATGGATGATGGATAGATGGGTAATGGATGGATGGATGATGGATGGACAGATGGTTGGATGGATGGTTGATGGATAATGGGTGGATGATGGATAGATGGATGGATGGATGGATGGATGACGGACGGACAGATGGTTGGATGGATGGATGATGGATAATGAGTGGATGATGGATGGATGGATGGATGATGGAAGGATGGATGGATGATGGATGGATGCATAATGGATGGATGGATGACAGATGGATGGATGGATGATGGATGGATGATGGACAGACAGATGGTTGGATGGATGGATAATAAGTGGATAATGGATGGATGGATGATGGATGGATGGATGGATGGATGGATGGATGGATGGATGAGTGAATGATGGATGGGTGAATGATGGATGGGTGGATGATGGATGGATGGTAATGGATGATGGATGGATAGATGGATGGATGGATGATGGGTTGATGGATGGATGATGGATGGATGATGCGTGGATAAGTCAGAACTTCAGAGGAGGAGAGATGAATTCTAATTGGAAATTCAGGGGAAGGTTAGATAGAGGGGTTGATTGGCTGGGGGGGACAGTGTGGCAAAGACTTGGAAGTGATATGGGATCACTGGTCACATTCAGGGAACAAAGAGTAGTCAGAGGGACAGGTTAAACTAATAGGATACAAGGTTGAAATGCTTAATTGGAACATGGCCTTGGAACTCCTTCCATCTCATCCACCCCAGTCAGGTCTTTCAGGGCAG